TTTTTTTCAGGACATTGATTTCCTTGTACATTTCCTCTTTCAGGTCCTGTATACTTTTCCTGATTTCATCATGATGTCTAGCTGAGTTTTCTTGTTATCTCATTCAGCTTCCTTAGAATTATCACTCGAAATTCCTTGTCAGTCATTTCAAGGGCTTCTTGTTCTATAGGATCTAGAGCTGGAGAGTTATTATCCTTTGGTGGTGTACTTTCTTGATTTTTCGTATTTCTGGCATCTTTTTTTTGATGTTTATTCATTGTGGCAGGGGGTTTCACAGTCCACAGGTTTGACACTATTGACTGACTAAGATGTTGCTGTGGTTGCCAATTTCGTATGGCTACCTCAGTGACTGCTCAGTTGGCTACTAGTGCCTTGCGTGTGTGGTTGCCTTGGGTCTTGGGCCTCTCCGGGGAGCCACCTCTCTGGTCAGCTTGGACTCGGCCAGGCTGCTGGATCACGGGATGGTACCACAGGGTGTGTGGTCTCTGCTGAGCTTCCACCTCCCGTGCTGGACTTCTCACTGTTCCGTGTGCTCTGGCCCGGGCTGCTGGGATGCACCAAGGCACCGGAGAGCGTGTGGTCTCTGCAGAACTTCCCCTTCCCCTGCAGGATGTCTCCCTGCTCTGTGCGCGGTAGGCCAGGCTTGGGATGGAGCCGGGTGGCGGCGGTGAAGCCTACCTGCTGCTGGATTGTGGGGCGGTGGCCCCCCCACAGGGTGTGTGGACTGTATGGACCTTCTATCTCCCTTGCTGGATGTCTCTGTGCTCCGTATGCGTTGGTCCCGGCTGCTGGATCGCGCGGCAGCAGTGTGGTCTCCATGGAGTTCCCGCGTCCCCTGCCGGACGTCTCCCTTCTCCGAGTGCACTAGGCCGGGCTGGGAATGGAGCCTGGTGCCTCTGGTGAAGCCTACCTGCTGGATCATGCAGTGGCTGCCCTACAGGGTGTGTGTTTTTTGCGGAGCCTCCGCCTCCCTTGCCAGATGTCTCCCCACTCTGTGCGCACTGGGCTGGGCTGGGAATGGAGCCGGGTGGCGGTGGTCAAGCCTATCTGCCGGATCATTTGATGGCGGCCCCGCAGGGCATGTGGTCTCCGCGGAGCTTCTACCTCCCCTGCTGGATGTCTCCCCGTTGCATATGCACTTGATGTTATGTTTTTATAGTTTAAAGCGGTTGATTTGTGGGAGAGAGTGATGCTAGAGACCGTCTATTCCGCCATCTTGACCGGAAGAAACTTTCTTTATCTTGATTGTGGTGATGATTACATGATTTGTGAAAATCATTTGTGAAAACTTATAAAACTGTATACCAAAAAGAATAATGTTTCTGTATGTAGATTTTGAAAATGTTAGTTAAAAAATAAATAAATAAATAAATAAATAAAATGCTTGATTCTTGTTTTCCCCAAAGAGAGTGTTGGCTTTGCTTTGGGAAGTGGGAAGGGATTCCAGAAACTCTTTCCTTCCTTTCCTTAAGGTCTCCAGAGGGTTGGCTGCCTTTAGTTGCTCCATATCTGTCACACGGTAAAAGTCTCAGAATGGTGGTGGCAGGTCTTTTTCCTTCTTAACAGGACAGAACATGGGAGTGGGCGGTTGTAAAATATATCCTTTTTTTTTTTTAACGGGTCTTTATCCAGGCAAAAATTACATACATAAAATGTCCCCATGTTAAATGTATGGTGGGATGTTTGGGTAGATTTATATACCTGTGTAAACCACCACCACAAGCAAAATCTAGAACAAGTCCTTTACTCCAAAAAGTTCCTTCATGCCCATTTCTGAAGCATTATTCTTAGCTGTAATCCAGGTATAAGTGCCTTCAGTACTTGCTATCGTCTTTAAGCCTTGCCTCATAAAGGCCTTGCTGTGTCTCCACTGCGTGCGTACCTCTCCTTTCAACAGCCATATGATGCTTCATTTCAACCTATCTCGGTTCATTAACCAGTTTCTATCCTTCTCTGTGGTGGGGTGGCCCAGCCACTGGAGCTCTTGGCCACTACAGAGAGCACCTCAGCAAACTCCTTTGTGCACATCTCTTTAATTAGTCCCTTAGGTTTAATTCTCAGGCCTGTAGTCTTTGCCAAAAAATTTTCCCATATAGCAACACACTGGTTTTCTGATAGGGCTAAAATAGCATAGAATGGTATTAGCCTCACTGCATCTTTGCTGTCTCTGGAAGCTAAATCTACTCCCCTCGCCACCCCGACTTAAGAGTTTGCTACTTTAGTAGTTGTACAAGTGGAACTTGAGGGCCGTTTCAGTTTATATTTCTTCGGTTGCTAATGAGGATAAAGTTTTTTGTGAGGATTTTTTTCTCCTGTGCTAGTGGGAACTCTATAATCCTTGCCTTTTCATTTGTTTGGGTGTTGATGGTTTCTCCTATCAATTTAAGTGAGTATTTTCATGTAGTATACCTTTGCAGGAGTTAACATTCATTTTAAGGGTATGATGTGGAGGGTATGTGTTGGAGGTGTTGATGTTCATTTTTAAGGGTATGCTATTTTGAAGAAATGGTATATGGGTTGAGCATCCCTAATCTGAAAATCCAAGATCCAAAATGCTCCAAAACTTGAAACTTCTTAAGTGTTGTCATGACGTTCAAAGGAAATGCTTACTGAAGCATTTCAGATTTCAGGTTTTCAGATTAGGGATGCTCAGTTGGTATGTATTCTGCAAATATTGCAAAATCTGATTCACTTCTGGTCTCAAACATTTCGAATAAGAGATACTCAACCTGTTTTAACATTTTCATTTTCTAGCTGGTTTAGGTGAATTCCGAATTCGTGACCTGAATGATGAAATTAACAAGCTGCTAAGGGAGAAAGGACACTGGGAGGTCCGGATAAAGGAGCTGGGTGGTCCTGATTATGGAGTAAGTAAGCAGCAGCCCTGGTGGTGCTTGGGGGGCAAGCTGGTGAGCTTCTTGGCATGCTGGGGTGGTTCCATCTAGCTTTGCATCCCCTGCAGCTCCCAGTCCATGCCTGCTACAGAGTAGGCACTTGATAATGAAAGAAGGCTTGATAATTGCCTGTTGCATGTGGACAGGAAACATAGGAAAAGGATGGGTAGGATGATGCTGAAAGACCCCCCAGCACAGACCTCAGAGCAGACAAGGCACTTGAATGTGCCAGCTGTGCTCTTGAGTAAGCCCATATCTCTCTGTGCCTTGTGTTTAAAATGGCCATGGCCCTCTCTCTTCTCTAAGCTCCTTGGGAACTGTGGGCAGCCATTTGTTGACTCTTTACCTGAAGGGCCTTAGGGCCATTCCATTCTGTCCTGTTTTTGGACTCTTATAAATGCTATCCTGTAGAACAGTGCCTTTCAAACTTTAGGACCATGACCCATTGTAAACCACATGCAGGTGTGCATGCACACACTCTTATATCACAACTCAGCACACACAAAAATGAGCTGAAAAAATACTTGGTGTTTTAGTGTAATGTTCTTTTATTCTCTGTTCTATTTTGATTTTTTAAAAATTGATGATTGTGACCTGCTTAATTGATTTCATGACCCACTAATGGGTCTTGACTTTAATAACTACTGCCCCAGGGCCTGACACATTCACCTGTTTGTGATGAGATCAATTCTAGATCACTGGAACCAGTAGTATCTAACCATTGGCCTGTAGTATGTTATGTAAGAAACACGTGGTTTGGGGCCAGCCCGTGACTCACTTGGGAGAGTGTGTTGCTGATAACACCAGTGCCGTGGGTTCAGATTCCTATACAGGGATGGCCAGTTAGCTCACTTAGGAGAGCATGATGCTGACAACACCATGTCAAGGGTTAAGATCCTCTTACTGATGATCTTAAAAAAAAAAAAAAGAAACGTGTGGCTTTTCTACATGTTTATGAAAGTCTAATGCAGAACCACGATTCTCACTTTAGTCCTTGGCATAAAAATGGAGCATGTGTTCTCCCCGTTGTAGGAGAGGCACTCACCTTTCTGAGCCCCTGTTCTGTTCTAGGCACTGTGTTGGGAACTTTCTCAGGGATTGTCTCTCTTAACCTCTTCAGCAGTTCTGTGATGGAGATTTTATTTTTCTTGTCAGTCTGCTGTGGAGTAATGCAGGAGTTTATTAACCTGCCTAGAAAAGCGACCTCAGATGTACTAAAAAATATGTAAAATGTTCTTAAGTTCCACCATCCAAATTCAACACTGTTTATGTTTTAATGTATTTTTTCTAGAGTTTTTAGATGCTTCGTAATTTTCGTTTTCTACATATAAAAGAAATACTTTATCATTAAGTTCAGAAGAGTACAAAATAGTAGAATGGTGTTCAGTAACCATTCCATTACCTGGTACAGCTGCTTGAATATTTCCTTCCTTTGTTTTTGTGTGATCGTCATAGCTGAGACCATCCTTGCTGTATGTACAACTTTGGTCCTCTGCCTTTCTTTTCAAAATGATAACTTTGATTATATAAACAATACGTACTTTTTACAGAAAAAAAAAAAAAGAAGGGGGAATGGGGAGAGGGTGGTCAGTGAATACAAAATATTAGAGAAATAGGGAGAATGGGATCTAGTGTTCTACAGTGATATAGGGAGACTACAGTTAACAACAGCGTACTGTGTGTCTTTGAATAGCTGGTCGAGATGATGTCGAATGCTCCTAGCACAGAACTGACAAATGTTTGAGGTGAAGGATATACTAAGCACCCTGATAGGATCATTGTACACAGTATGAATGTACCCAAATATCGTACTGTACACCATAAATGTATACAATTATCATGGGTCAATTAAGAAAAATAAATTAGAAAGAGAGAAAAAAAGAGAAGTAGAGATTAGTATAGTGGCTACCAGAGGCAGGGATAGGGAGTGGGGAGGAAGGCCTGGGAGAGGCTGGTAGACTGTTATAAAGTTACAGTTAGATAGGAAGAATAAGTTCGGGTGACAGTAGGTAATAATATTGTATTGTATTTCAAGACAGCCAGAAAAGAGGATTTTGAATGTTATAACCACAAAGAAATGATAAATGTTTAGGTGACAGAGAGGCTAACCATTCCGATTAGATCATTATATAGTATATGCATGTATTGAAACAAGAAACTGTACCTGTAAACATGTACAGTGAAAAAAATTTAAAAAAAAATATATAAAGAACATAGAAGTTGTAAGATAAATATTATATATGTTATGTATATATAATATATATTTTCCTACCACACAGAAATAACTATTATCATTATTTATTTTTCTACAGTTTTTTCTAGGCATATATTTATTTTTACAGAAATTGGTTCATGTTCTGACTGATACTTTGCTGTCTTAACATGTATCAGAAGAATAGTTTCATGATACGGGTAATCATTCAGATCATTTTAAGAAATGTTTTTGAACTCACAGAAAGTTGCAAAAACAGTACAGAGAACTCTTATATACTCTGTACAGATTTACCAGTTTTTAACATTTTGCTCTATTTACTTTGTTTTCTGTGTATACATTGAGATTTATTTTTTCTGAATCATTTGAAAGGTAGGTTAAATGCGTCGTGTTCCTTTCTTTACCTCTTAATACTTCTGTGTGCATTTCCTAAGAATAAGAATATTCTCTTATATAATCATGGTAGAGTTTCCAAGTTTAAGATATCTAACTTGGATACAATAATTTTATCTACCCTATATGGCCATTTCATTAATTTTCCCAATAACGTTCTTTATAGCATTTTTCTACCTTCAGTACAGGATCTAGTCCAGGGTCTTGTATTGCGTGTAGTTGTCTACATCTTCATGTCTAATAGATACAGTTTCATCTTCTGGACGTATTTCATTTGGCTTCTGCTGATTGATTGTCATTTATGTTGTTTGCTTTTTTTTTTTTGGTAACTGAACATCATCATATCATAAGTGTTTTTCTAAGTCAACATAAGAATTTCATAAGGACCATTATTTTTACGATACAATATATTCCATCAGTGAATGTGCTATAATTTATTTAAATTATCCTTGTATTGTTAGATATTTAGTTTTTTTTTCTTTGGTTCTTGACTGGTCCTGGGATCCGAACCTGTGACCTTCCCATTGTAAGGCTGCACTCTAACCAACTGAGTTAACCGGTCAGCCTTTTTCTAGGTTGATTTTTAAGGGATGAAATAGGCGCATAAATATTTTTCTGGATACATAAATATTTTGCACATTTGGCATTCTTAAAATATGTTTGCAAACATGGAAATATTGGGTTTAAGGATCAGATAGATCCATTTTCTTTTTCCCTCCCAATAAGAAAGTTGGCCCTAAAATGCTGGATCATGAAGGAAAAGAAGTCCCAGGAAACCGAGGTTACAAGTACTTTGGAGCAGCAAAAGATTTGCCTGGTGTTAGAGAGCTTTTCGAAAAAGAACGTAAGTGACTAATGTTTGTGAAGGTTTTTGCCTCTAATTGTTGGTAATAATCGTAAGAATGGATGGGCTATATAATAAATGCTCTTCCTATATTATTTCTTAGCTGCACAACTGCCTGTAGTATAGGAATTTTTGTTCCAAGATTTTAAATGAGAAACCATAAGCACCAGGATTGAAATCTCAGGCCCAGGGCACACAATTGGGGCTGGAAAGTGAGCCAGGACTGGCTGTGCCAAATTCCGTGCTCTTTGCACATGCCAGTCTGTAGGCCTGGATGGGGGCTTTCCCACTCTGAATTTCCCAAAACTGTTGGGGCAGGCTGTGAAGTCCATTGAATCAGATTCATGTTTCAGTTACTTATTAGTTGAAACAGTTGTAACTGAAGAACAAATAAAATCTTGAGCCCAACCCCAGTATGTGAAAATGCAAAAAGCGGGGCAGTGCTGCGTGAATCCCTGTGGGCACGCCCTGCCTCTCCTCCCTCTCCTCCTTCTTCCTGCTGTGGCGATGGGCAGCCAAACCTTGGGCTTTTGAAAATACAATTTGAAACTACCGGTCTGGAGTTTTAGTGTATTTTAATTTTACCTTTTAGTAAAGTAGTCTGTGCTATGACCAAAGCTTGAAGTTCTCCATAGGATGCCATCGTCACTCAGTAGTGCTGTCTTCCTGAGGAGATGGAAGACTTAGACAGTCACAGTCATGACATAATAATCCATGACTGGTGATGTTGGAAAGTCAATAAATGTCTCTAAGTTTAAAAAAAAAAAAAAAAGTAGTTTGAATGCTTCGTAGAAAAAAGTGTGAGAAGAGAGAATGATGCCAGTATTCTCACCACTGTTGTCATTTTGCTATATTTCCTTCTGGTTGTTTTTTTTTTTTTAAGTGTAGTCCTAATTTTATTAAACCCTGCTTATTTTAAAATTCATTATGCCAAAACTGGTTTTGCATGTGTCATTACCATCACTTATAAGTAATTCAAAGTTTAAAGTCAGGTCATTAATTATGAAAGCAATATATATTTGCAGAGAAGTTGTAAAATACAGAAAATCAGAAAAAAACCATCCACATTTTCACAACTTGTACCTGATGATGACTAACATGTTGGGGCATGTTTCCCTTCAGTTTTTAAAGAGTTATGGGGGTTTGCTCCTAAATTGGGATTATTCTGTATGTGTTGTTGTGGGTTTTTTGTATTTACATTTTTTCTAAATGTACTTTTAGTTTCAATCACAGATTTTTTTTTTTTTTTTTTTAACAAGAAAGTGCATCAGTCAGTTTTATTGAGTATAATTCAAATAGTACACAGAGTTAAAGCCCCCTTGGCACACCCATCCCAGTGTCCCTGCAAAGGGTAACTGGTAACCACTATTATCTGTTTGGTATGTTCCCTTGCAGGCCTTTCCCCAGGCACTTACATGCTTATTTCATCGGCTAAATTTCACCAGCATAAGTGACAGATGACTCAGCCCCAATTGATTAAGGCAGAAAAATGAATTTATTGGCTCACCTAACTGGAAATCCCAGGGGTAGTTGGCCTTAAGGCATGGCTGGATCCAGCTCACATTTCTCCATGTTGCAGTTTTGACTTCCACTGTGTGAGCTGCTTTCTCTGCCCACCTCTCCATCTGTGGTGTCTAGTTGTCCATCATCGACTTTCATCTTGGCCTCTCTCAGCAACAAAATTTCCCCCTAAGCAGTTCAAACAAAATTCCCAGACTTGAGTGTATTTGGCTTTGATTGGATCATAATTCCATTCTTACATGGGCCCCTGTGGCCGAGAGGAATGTAGTGCTCCAAACCAGCCAGGCTTCAACCTGTGCCCTGTCCCGGGTCCAGCCCATATGATGACCACCACTCGCAGGATGTGGACTCAAGAGTGGTGAAGGGGTGGACAAAGTTGCCGGAACTAACAGTGAAGTGATGAATGGAGGCCTGCTGAAACACCATGGCTCTCCCATACCTGCTGTGTTCTGATATCCACTGATACCCCCCCATAGGTATACTTAGAACTCTATTAGTGGATGTAACGAGTATCATGGTGTAGGTTTAACCATACTATACATAACCATTCCTCCATTGGTTAGACCCTTAGTTGTTTCCAGTTTTTCATGATTGTAAAAGTTTTATTAATCTGTTGGGGTTTTTGTTTGTTTGTTTGTTTTGGTTTTTTTGGTGGCTGGCCGCTACAGAGATCAGAACCTTTGCCCTTGGTGTTATAGCACCACTCTCTAACCAACTGAGCTAACCAGAGGTTTATTAATCTGATTGGTGGAAAACATTATTTTTATTTTTTCTTTCCCTGATTACTAATGAAATTGAGAATTGAATCCAATTACTAATTGAAATTTTTACACGTTTGAATTTTTTCCTCTTAAATTATCAGCTTTTATTCCTTGACCAATCTGTTAAGTTGTCATTTTCCTTTTGATTTTCAAGAATTACTTAACTGTTCTGGATAGTAATCCTTAGGCTGAAAATATTTATCTTTTTTGTTTATAGTTTCTTTGTCTTCATAGGCTTATGTTCCCCATCATGGTTTTTTTATTAAACATTATGACATTTCCTATGTTATTAAAACACCTTGTGAAACAGCATTATAGGGGCTGCAGGATATCCCATCCCATACACATCTTACAACTTAAAATCCTAGGTTATTCCCAAGTTTTCATTGTTATATAAACAATGCTGTGATTCATATCTCTGTTCATAAAGCTTTTTTAGCTTGTGTTTGTGGTTTTTTTTTTTTTTTTTTAATTACTAATTGGGTAAAAGCACTGATTTTAAAAAGTGTTGCACTCTCTCATGGTATTTTCCTAAACATTCATGCTGTATTGCTGCCTGCATAGGAGAAGGCTTGGCTTGAGCGTGATTGGAACTTGTAAATTCAGCTAAGTTGCTGCTGTTTCTTTTAGCTCTTCCTCCTCCCAGAAAGACACGTGCTGAGCTCATGAAGGCGATTGATTTTGAGTACTACGGTTACCTAGATGAAGACGATGGTGTTATTGTGCCTTTGGAGCAGGAATATGAAAAGAAACGTAGGTCTTTGGGTATTTCACTTCGTTATAGATGGCATCTGGTTTGCTCTCTGCTTTGAAAAAGGGGTATTCAGTAGTACTTTATGCCAGAAGGGAGTTTACTTTGTTGCTAATGGGATTCAGAGGTAATGGCCTGCTTATCCCCTGACCCCCATGAGGCTTTGGAGGCAGTCAGGGCAGTTGGGCCAGAAGCAGCAGATCGGGGAAGCCCCGAGAGCTGTATCCGACCTGGTCCCTGCCTGCCAGAAGCTCACCATCTGGATTCGTTCCAGACTGGCCTTCCTTGAACCTGTGAAACAGTGCCCACCTCACTGGCTCTTAGATCTGCCTTAAACACAGCTGAAGGGTTATTAGTGTAGAGCAAGGTGGTGTCGTCTTGTGAACACTTCCTCCATGCCACGCACTGTGCTAAGCGTTAAGCATTTTATAGCCATTCTTTTGAAGCCTCATGACAGCCATGTTAGTGCTAATCCCAGATGACACATCGAGCTAGAACTTTGGCAGCCAGTGGTCCCGAGTCAGAACTCCTTTCCAGCATGCTGCGCCCCTGTGTCCTCCATTTTCATGTGGGCATGTTGGAAAGCCACTCAGGTTGCTGAACTGGGGAGGATCTGGGGATGTTCCCTAAAAAGCTTCCTTGCAGCAATTTAAAGCTGGAGCTTTAAGTAGGACTAGCCCACCCTTCACATCCATTTCCCACCCACTAGGGCAGAATGAAGGGTGTCCCTTTCCAGATGGGACGTCTTAGCCTTTGCCTGCATTGTGTTGAAAGCTTGTTTAGAGACTGGAAGAAGTAGCACCTGCTCTGCCTTGTTTTCAGTCAGAGCCACGTTGGTGGAAAAGTGGAAAGCGGAGCGAGAGGCCCGGCTGGCAAGAGGAGAAAAGGAAGAGGAGGAGGAAGAGCAGGAGGAGGTCAACATCTATGCTGTTGCCGAGGAGGAGGTATGGGGTTGGTCCCTCTGGTGCTCACTGCCTTCTCCTCCGAGCCATGAAGCATTGTAGGGAGGAAGCTTGGCTGCAGGATGGCTGTGAAGATGACATTGCAGGGTCACAGGGAGGGTTTCAGAGAGGAGCAGCTATGGGAGCGCTTTGTCAACTGGGCTTTCTTTCCTTTTTCTTTGAGGATAGGCCCTACTGAATATAATAGAATAGGATTTATAAACACAGTTGAAGTCATACAAGTTTTAGCCCATGACCTCATCATTTCTGTTCAAAGGCAGTGCCAAGAGCTCTTTTGTAGTCTGATACCCCCATTTTACAGATGGAAACAGGCCCAGAGCAGAGAAGGGACATCCTCAAAGGGTCACAGTTGGGGATGGAGCTACAATCCCTGCCTTCCAGTCAGAGCCTCCAGGCTCTTCTGCAGGCCCAGCCTATAGAGGCCTTGCTGCCTGGACAGGTCCAGAGTGGATCTGATTTTCTAGTCCAGGAGAAGTGGGGGGTCACCCACACACAAACGATGGGTTAGGTCCTAAGTGAGGAGCTTGCCGTGACATCACTGGTGAGAAAGTAGGCTCAGAGAGATTTAGTGACTTAGTCAACATCACACTGGATATAGCAGACCCGAGGTTCATGCTTAGATCCAGCTGCCAAGCAGTGTGGATCAGTGAAGGGTTTGAAGCAGATGACAGCATGCCCTAGCAGGATTTTCTTTAGATGCAGAAACTCAGCAGTATTTAATTAGGGGTTCTGGGAGCCAGGCCCATGACAGGTGCAGAGGGCACTGGAGAGCACAAACTTGGCACATAGCTCATAGTCCAGGACAAGGCAGTTCTGCAGGTGGAGACCATGGAGAACGGCAGCTCCTGGATGGCAGCCTGCTGCAGGGACATCCTGTGAAGGCTTTGCTGGGGAACCGACCCTTCAGCTGTGTTTGGGATGATGAAGGGGAGTTAACCAAGTGAAGAGGATGCGAGGGAAGAGTGCCTCAGGCACTGGTAAGTGTGAGGGACAGAGTACAGGCCAATGTGGCTGGAGCACAGAAATCGAGGGCACTGGGTATGAGTGGGAGCTGAAGAGGGTGAATGGGGTGTGCGGGGCCTGGCACCATGGGGGAGAGCAATAGACAGCCACTGAAGGATTTTTTTTTTTCTATTTCTTTTGAAATAATTATAAATTTATAAGAAGTTGCAGAGATAGTACAGAGTGATCTTATGCACCCTTCACCTAGTTCCCCCAGAGGTGTATCTTATGCAGTTATAGCACGATAGCAAAACCAGGGCATCGACGTTGTTCTGATGAGGGTGTTGAGTTCTGTGTCTTTTATCACATGTGTAGATCCTTGTAACCATTCTCTGCGATCAAGATGCAGAACTGTTCTCCCACCACAAAGACTCTCTTCCTGTCCCTTCACAGTCACACCCCTCCCTCCCCACCATCTCTCACCCTGGCAAACCCTAATCTGTTCTCCATCTCTATAATGCTGTCATTTTGAGAATGCTTTATAAATGGAATCACACTGTGTGTCACCTTTTGAGATGGCCTTTACACTCAGCACGGTACCCTTGAGAACCATCTGAGTTTATTCCCTTTTACTGCTGAGTGGTATTCCATGTACAGAAAAGTACACAAGTCTAACATGTACACAAGCTAAACACACCTACGTAGCAAATACCAGTGAAGAAACAACATGACCACAACCCCAGAAGCTCTCTCCTGCCCAGGGGGTCGCTCTCCTGACCTCTAATGACCCATAAGCTTTACCTGTTTCTGAACTAGATGTATACATAGAATCACGTATGCTCTTTTGTGTGTGTGTGGAGAGGGGACTGGAGAATGAAGTTAGAGGAAATAGAAGGACAGAGGCTACGGTGGAGGGAGACTTGAGGGGAGGGACCTGTGGGAAAGGGGAGGAGGAGGGTGGGGCGTGAGGGAAGGGTGCTGGAGAGCAGGGCATGGCAGAGGGACCCCATATACTCTTTCTTGTCTGATGTTCATGGGTATTTGTTTAGTGTCTGGTTTGGGGCTATAACAAAAGGGTTGCTGTGAACTTTCTTGGTCACATGCAGTGTTTCTGTTGAGTATATACTGAGCAGTGAGTGGAATCACCACATCATAGGGTAGGCTTGTGTTCAGCACTGGTAGATACAACCAGTTTTCCAAAGTGCTTTTACCAATTGATACTTTTGCCCACAGTGTATGAGAGATTTCCCCAGAGGGTTTGCAAACCAGCTCTTCTGGTAGGCAGGGTTGGGAGAGGGTTATGCAGGGTGTCTGCTCAGAGACCACAGGTGTGGGCACCACACACGCCACAAGTACTTTCCCCTAATATTTCCAAGTCCACGTTATTTCTTTAGTTAATTTGTATTGACTCATATGTAGCCTCTGAGTTGATCTTTTTTCCATATATGGTACATTTTTCAAATTTAAATTCTTAAAAATAAAATTTAAAAATTTTTAAAAATTCAAAAGATTCAAATATAAAAAGTATACAAAGATATTCCATGAAGATTCTCTTCCCTATTTCTGTCGCTTGTCCATCTACTTCTCACTGCTGTTACTTGTTTCTATTCTTATTTTCTCTCCTTATACAAAAGGTAGCGTCACACACGCCATGTTCTGTTACCTTTTTTAATGATGATGTGTCTGGGTGTGTTCCTGTGCAAGTACAGAGCTTCCTTGTTCCCTTCTTTCTTCTAAACAGCTGCAGAGAAGTGCACTTTATAGAGGTACCAACATTTATTTAACCTGTCTCCTGCTAATGGATTGTGGTTGTTTTCTGTCTGTAGTCTGATGAGGAAGGCAGCCAGGAGAAAGGAGGGGATGACGGGCAGCAGAAGTTCATCGCCCATGTCCCGGTGCCGTCACAGCAAGAGGTAGGAATGAGGCCGCAGCTGCCCTTGGGGTGGAGCCACCCAAGTGCTGGGGGCTTCGCCTCTAAAGCAGATGCTACACAAAGCTTTCTTTGTCCTTCCTATCCATCAGGGCAGCTCTGGATCCTGACCGTGTGGCACTTGTCATTGTGCTCATAACAGGGTGTGGGATCTGGAGAGGGCAGGAGCCTCTGCTTTAGATGAAACCGACAAATACATTCTGTTGTGAAATGTTTCCAGTGGGAGAAAGTTGGGGCTCCTAGAGATCACTCTGGGTCTTTCAGTCAGGCTCCACCCCGGGACTCCCTTGTGGCTGGGTTCTGGCAGGGGCTGGGAGCTTTACTGAGGAGTGAGCTGTGAGCCCTTTACTCTCAACGTCCACAGATTGAGGAGGCGCTTGTGCGAAGGAAGAAAATGGAGCTGCTCCAGAAGTATGCGAGTGAGACCCTACAGGCCCAGAGCGAGGAGGCCAGAAGGCTCCTGGGATATTAGGTCTGAACAGGGGCTCTCCTTGAAGTCTGGAAGATCTGGTGGGAGTCCTTCCGCACCCCAGTGGCCCCACAGGCCACTGCCACCCAGGGCAGCAGGCAGGCAGGTGATGCCATGAGGTTTCCTGCTCCTTTCTCCTCCCTCGTTCCTCTCTCACCTTCTCTTACCTCATGTACTGATAGAGGATAAGGGTCTGTCCCTGCCTCCCTGATGGGCTGTCTGGGTGCTGAATACTTCAGCTATTACCTTTGTACAAATATTTTGCTACTGTGTGAATCCATTTGTTTTTATATTGGAGTGTGTAAAGCAGGTCGCTAACTGGCTACCTATGTTTTACTTCACCTTGTACTGTGATTCTGAGGGGAGATGTATCAATTAGTGACCAATGTTAGAAAATGCTGTTTTCCTGAAAATACATATCTTCTCTTGAAAACTGAGACGATGTGTCAACACTGAGCCCACACCCCTGGTTGACAGCCAGTGCTGTTTCTGTGCCGGGCCATGTCCTTGGCTTTCCATAAGCCACTCAGCCGGCTCTGCTAGCTCCTGCCTGGATGGCAGGAATTTAAATTTGCTACTTCTGTTTTATAACCTGGTCTGCAGAGAGCTATTTTTATTAAAGATTTTTATAAGAGAAGGACACTTCCATGCCTGCTAACTTATTCCCTGAGCTGACTGCACCGAGGCAAGGTTGCATTAGGATGTGAAGCCAGAGTCACTGAAGGCACCACTGCTATCCTGCCTGAGAGCTCCCCAGGTAACAGCCTGGGCTATGGCAGGGATGAGACCAGTTCCCAGACTCCATCTGGGAGCTGAGGTGGGGCAGAGCCGTCCCACCAGGGCCATAGCTGTGGACAGGGCCCCTTAGAGCAGGGGCTGTTGGGCAGTGGCCTGTGGGAACATACACAGTTAAATCCAAACCTTCTGCCTGAGCCGGGTCTTTCCCTTGAAGCCAGAAACCTCCTGCAGAGGCCACGGCCTGGGTCGTGTGGGCCTGAACCTCTTGCGCTCTGCTCTGCAGGGTCCTGGGAAGGTCTGGGTCTCAGCGTCAGGGTCAGATGGCTGTTCCTTGGGCCCAGGGCTCTGGCTCAGGCTGGGACAGGAGCTCCTGTCTGGGAGAAGCCCACTGCACAGCAGGAGTGTCGTTCTGCAGGGATCCGGGACATCTGCCTGTGGGGAGCAGCGCAGGTGGGGAGTGGCAGAGCCGCATGTGGCTGAGGGGGCGTGTGTCGGGGGAGAGTGGTCAGGCTAGTGGGCGGTGCTGGGGCCTCTTTAAGGAGACTGGGGGGCCACAAAGATCTGTGGAAAGGTTCTGAGCGAAACAGTAGGGACCTAGTCAGTGGGTGACTTGCTCTAGGAAACTCCCTGTGGCCGTGGGGTGGAGACCCAGGCAGGACTAGGTCAGGTGGAGGATGGGGCAGAGAGGCCCAGGCAGGAGGTGGGTGGGTGGGGAGTAGGCATGGGGAAGGGGAGGAAGGGGGAGGGGCCCTCTGCTGTCCTGGCTTCCCTGAGGAAAGGGCTGGCTGGCAATGTCCCACCCCTCAGCTCAGCCCCAGGGGAACGTGTGCAGGGAGGAGGGAGGGGTCCAGGTTGGAGCTTGGGGAGCCCTCGGAGGCAGGCAGGGCAGACTTGGCTCTGGGACTAGCACCCCACCGGGTCCGGCTTGAGTCGTGGCTCAGGAGGGAACTTAGTGGGGGCTTTGAGCAAGTCCCTGCTGGGCTCTAGCCTCAGTTCCTCTGCTTTAAAGTCCAGGACTGGACCTGGTGCTGCTTGGCCTGTGGTGTGGGCAGAGGGCCCTGGGGACAGACTGGCCCGTGTCTAAGCCTCTGGGGAATGTGGGGGTGGCCGGACTCCGGCCGGCCCAGTTATGGGCTTGTCTTCCAATGAGCACGCGCGCTGTGGCGCTTCCCGGCATTAGAGGAGAGCAGGAGACTCTGGTGTCAGGTGCTCCTCCTCCCTGGGAAAGAGGCAAGTGCCCAGAGCGAGGCCATCTGACAGCCGAGGGCTCAGGCCTTCCTCCTCCAGGTCCCCGCCCCAGTCCTTCAGTGTGCAGAGCCCTGCCCTCCCAGTGCCGCCTCCTCAGGCTTCCTGGGATGCAGGCAGGACAGGAATCAGGCTTCCACACTGGAGGAAACCAAGGCCTAAGGAGGAGTAGCCCCTGGCCAGACATCCTACAGGAGTCCCTGGCACTGGCTCTGACTATTTGTCCGTCTAGTGGGCCTAGGGAGGCCTGGGAGCTGAGAGAGAGTCTTATCAGGGCCCCTGCTTCAGGCTTGGAAACAGCAGGTGAAGCTGGCTGGGTGGCTGTGACCTTTGGTGTGGATGTGGTCACCTTGCTGAGCTCATTGCTCAGAGGTGACAGAAGCAATCTCAGGAGCCCTTGGTTAAAAAAAATCTGCTCAATAGTTTATCTTAGCTTTGGCTCTGCCTGCAGTTTCCCAAAAGGCACATGGACACATTTCCATCGACTTCCCTCTTCTCTTGCTCCACTCATCCTCCTGTGAGTTTACAACACACAATCCTCCTCCTGTTTTGCTCTACAAGTCACAGCAGCTCCACCCAGTGTTCAGACTGTCCTCTGGGCCTCCTTCCCTGTACCCCCAGGGCCCCCCCGCCCCCCACTGCTTCTGGTCTTGGGCAATTTATAAACAAGGAAGAGAGGAAAACCCTCTTCTTTCCCAAGCCTTGCCAATGCCCACCCCTTAAAATCAGTCAGCAGGGCCATCCTGGAGAAGAGGGCAGCAGCAACTCACTGCTTCCTCCCAACCCCAAAGAGAGGACACGGCTGGGGGTGTCAGGGGGACCTGCTCACTCTGACTAGGAATCACTGAAAGCAGGAAGCTGCCTGGAGGGGCGTGAAGCTGAGCCCACCACCCAGCACCTGCAGGTAATGAGCAGACAGGTCCCGAGGGAGGCAAGTGGGGCACTTGGCCCCTGCCGGCTCTCCACATCTGCCCCTTCCTGCCTCACCTCCACCCCCCCCCCCCC